CCCCCCCCCCGGCCTGGGCCAGTGGGGATCTCTGCCCCTCCCCCCAACTCCCAAGCTGGGCACACCGCTTGTGGGGCAGAGGGCCCAGGCCCAGGGCTAATCTTTGAGGGCCCTGGGCTGGATTGGAAAGCTCCTGTAAGACATCCTGGGTAAGAAGCCAGTTGTCCCCATGGGCGGTGGAGGGGTTCCCCAGGTGCAGCCCTTCCTGGCCTCCCAAATCCTGCACCACTGGTGTAACCCTCACACCTGCAGCTGGTCCCCAAAGTGCTGCCAGGTTGCTGGGCCAGGAGGGGGGAGCCTCCCTTCACTGATCCTGGTGGGGGAAGGGCGAGTGGGGAATGTTGTGAACTGTGACTCTTACAGGCTGTTGTTGATCTTCCCTGGCCTGCATGGTCCTGGCCCTTCCCCTGCAGCTGGCTTAAGTCCCCTTAATCTGGCTTGCTGCTCCCCCTCTGGCAGTCCTGGGGGCTCAGGGCTGTCTACTTTTGCCCGGTTCCCGCAGGGATGCTCAATGCAACTGTCCAGTGAGCTAATCTGCATGGTCACAAATAATTTGCATGGAATAAATTTCAGCTTGTCACGTGTGGGTGGCTACAGGGCTGGGGAGGGTTTGGAACCCTGCAGAATGGAGCCCTTGGTGGATCTGTGGGGCCAGCCCTGGTTAATACTCACATGGCTCCACTGGGATGGGGCAGCTCTCCATGGCCAGGGCAGCTGTTGGCTTCTCCGCGTAGTGTGGCTGTCTGCAAAGGGAAGGCGGGAGCTGAGACCCACCCAACTCATCGCATGCTGCGGCCACCAGCCAGCTCTGGGAGAGAAGCCGCTTCAGTCCCTGCTGCGCTGGGCTGGATTTGCACCCAGGACTGTTGGGACGGGCTCTGTGGTACATTAGCAACAGCCTCAGGCCATGTGAGTCCCAGCAGGGCGGTGGCTGGAAAGTAGCAATGGAAATTCCAGCCCGTGGGGAGGCAGTAGGGTCCGTCCCCCCCCCTCCCCCGGTCCCCTCCAATGACCTGCTAATGCACTGAATGTTCCTGTGTAGCTCCCAGGCCTGTCCCTGCCCTGTCACTGCCACTGTAAGTAGGTTGTTGTCCCCTATGTGGTGTGGCCTGTGGAGGGAAGTGCAGGGCAGGAGACCCATGGCATACAGCTCAGCTGCAGACCTGGGGGGCAGGACTCGGCTGTGGCGCTGTGCGCTTGGGGGAGGCTGCTGCTCTTTGGCCCTGGCTGAGCAGAGCTAAACAGGGCAGCTGGACTGTGCCAAAGGGCGGGGTGGGGTGGGGGGCAAGCTGTGTATCTGCTCCTGGCCCTGTGGGGTTGGGAGGGATGATGTATGAACATGCCTGATGCTGTGTTCATCTCAGGCCTCGGGGTTCTGGGCGGTAGGACACTTGGGTGGGGGTGAAGAGGAGGCTGCCCAGAGAGCAATCCTGGGGAGGCGAGTATGGGCAGAGTTAAGGGGATGTATGTTGTTGTACCTAATGGCTGCAGTGCAGAGGGGGAGAGCTTGGGACTGCCCCCAGGCTATGGCAGCCAGCCAGCCACAGCACACGCTCCCAGCCAGCCCTACCCCTTCTCCCGTCCTCGCCAGCACTCACCTACCCCAGCAGCACCATTGCCACAGCTGCTGCTCTGTGCCCCGTTCAGGGGTATCTGTGTTGACTTTCAGCTGCAGATAAGGGTCTCGTGCCAATGATTGGCCAGTTAGCTGTTGTCATTAGCATATGGCCCTGCAGGGCCGTGGCAGACGGTTTCCTCCAAGGGCTGAGTTCTTTGCTAATAAGGGAAAATTCCCCGTGGACTTGACTGAAAGCAGAGACGTGAAACCAGGTCTCCCCTGCCCGAACCATCAGGCCGTAGCATCACCAGCGCCAGGGTTCTCACGTCTCTCTGGAGCCATTCCACCGTGTATCAATCATTAACTCCGGCCCTGCAGGGCCGTGGCAGACGGTTTCCTCCAAGGGCTGAGTTCTTTGCTAATAAGGGAAAATTCCCCGTGGACTTGACTGAAAGCAGAGACGTGAAACCAGGTCTCCCCTGCCCGAACCATCAGGCCGTAGCATCACCAGCGCCAGGGTTCTCACGTCTCTCTGGAGCCATTCCACCGTGTATCAATCATTAACTCCTGGGGCAGAGAGAGCATGAGCTTGATGTCATGGCACTCGCCCTGGTTACTACTCGTGTGGCCCTGCCCCGTGGCTCTGCTCCGCGGGGGGGGGGGGGGGCAGCTCCCTGTGGCCTTGGCTGGCTTTGTGTCCCAGAGGCACCACCGGGGTTTGAGAGCAGCTGAGCAGGGGTTTGGAGACAGGCACATAAATTCCTTTATGGATCTGGCCCTCGGCACGCGGCTCGGCCCCATCCCTGCAGGAGGAGCAGGGCTGGGGATGTGCATAGGCAGCCGCAGGTGCAGTGTTGTTCATGGCCATGAGGCTCCCTGCAGAAGGCGGGTCTCCCCACGGTTCCCTGCTGCTCTGGTGCCCTGGAATGAACCCTGAGGAGGATTTGTTACCTGAGTCACTTAGCCAGCACCAGGATTCCAGGTGCTCTACAGCGACAGACCCCACCCCTTCCCCAGAAGCGGCTCTGCTGGCTCCCCTCCCCCGACCTGGGCTCGGCCCCCAGAATCTTGCCTTTCATCTTGTTTAGCCCTCCTTGCCCAGATGCCTTTGGAAAGGTGCCACAAGGGAAATGGCTAGAGAAATGGGCTGTCTGGGTCTGCAGGGAGCCTGAAAGCAGAGCGCTGGGGAAGGAGTAAGCTGCCCTGTTCACGGCAAAGTGGTGTTAACTCTGAAACCTAATGATGGCTACCCAAATACCAGCAGTGCTGTAAACGTTCTTTTTGCTCATTCTGGCAGTACTTCGCTCAGAATTCCAAAAATTCCCTCTCCAGGGACCAGCCTCCCTCCCCCCTTCTTTCTCCCAATACTAACCCCTCACCCCTGAGAGACAGGTTGGGGGGGGGGGAGGTTGTCTCCCATGTTTCCAGTCAAACACCCCCCTACTTTGTGTGACCTGTGGCTGCTACACTGGCGTTGCCCCAGTGTGTGCCAGAGCCAGCAGCCCTACAGCAGAGTGCTCTGGTCCTTGGATGTTTCCCTGCGAAGGAGCACTAGTGACCGGCAGGGGGCAGAGCTTTGCTGTGCTCCCATGCCTGTAGAGCAGGGCCTGGCTCCTGGGGACCCTGGGGTGTGGCAGATGCTAGGGCTGGGACCTCACTGATAGGCCTCTGTGGGGCTGGGAGAGACTCGGGCCCCAGCTGATTGGGACCCAGTTAAATTTCTTATGAGTTAGCTCATGGGACTGGACTAGCACCCTCCTGGTGATGAGTGAGTGGGGGTCAGGGGTGAACATGTTCCCTCAAGGCCTGCAGTGCATCTCCCAGCTCCACTCGCTGGAGAGGCCTGGAGACCTCAGACGAGGGTGCGGAAACCAACAGGGAAGCCCCAGCTTCCATCTGGGGCCAGTGCCTGCAGCCTAGCCTGGCAGCCTCACCCCAAGGCAGCCACCCATGGGGCGGGAAGGGGTGGGATGTGAGGCTCCAGCCTGGGGGAGAAGGTTCCAGGCCCCATATCCCAATGCCTGTGGGTTGGCAGGAAAATGGCTGAACCCATGTGAGGGGGCAGTGGCCAGGAAGGTTGGTGCCTCTGTGCTCAGGCTGACAAGGAGCCAGCTCCCTGCGGCCAGTACTCACTGGTGACATAGCAGGCACAACAAACAGCGCCACGAGTCAGCAGGCTTGCACACACTGCACGGGGACATGCACCACGCACAGACACCACACATGGTCATGTGACACACGGACACAGGCATCCAACACATCTGGCACAGAGGGACGCTGTATGCACCCAGATTTGCGACA